CCCAGTAAATAGCTGTGGTTTGAATGTTTATGAAGCATTCACTCTACGATGATCCATTTTTCTTCTGTACGTTTTTTGAGGCAATTCTCGTCCCTCAGTTTTCAACAAATCATAAATCAAAACGTTCAGCTCCTTCAGGACAATCCTGCTACGACTTTTTGTATTGGTGCAAGTTTAGCTTTTTGAAATATTTAGCTTTTCTGACATTTTTATTTTAGAAAAGGAACTGAGCTCATTTTACATCCTTCACATCTTTAGATGTGTTTACAACCTTTTACTGCTCCTTTCACATTTTATTCTGCTTCAGCTTTGTTCAGCTTTCTTCTGCAAATTTAAACATTTTCAGCTACTTTCAGTTGTTTTTTCAGCTGTTTAGTGCTCCTTTATGATTCTTTCTGCTAATCTGTGCTTCTTCTAACTTCTTTCTGAGGATTTCAGCTTGTTCTGCTCCTTTCAGCTTACTTATGCAACTTTCATGTCTTTCTGATATTTCAGCTCCTATTTAGCTATTTTTAATGATAATTTAAACTTTTTCAGCTAATTTCACATTTTTTGCATTTATTCAACTTTTTTCAGCCTAATTCAGCAAAAATGTGCTCTCTCCACTTCCTTCTTGTAATTTCAGCTTCTTTTGGCTTTTTTTTAGCTACTTTTCAGCTGTTTTTGCTAATTTTTGCTTCTTTCAGCCTTACAGGGTAAATATGTGCTCTTTTTGCCTTTTATGCTAGTTTAATTAATTTCAATTTATTTTATTTATTTATCATTAAGTCACAACAGAAGTTGTTTCAGGGCACTGAACAGAAACATTCATATATAAAAATAATAATTTAACATTATTTATCTGAGGAGCAGCTTTGAGTTTAACTCCATCACAGAACTCTCATCTGGAGCAAGCATGAAGGAGACAGTGGGAAAGAAAAACTCCCTCATGAGGAAGAAGAAACCTTTAGCAGAACCAGGCTCAGGACAAACAACCATCTGCTTCTTCTACTGCTTGTTCATTTTCAGCTACTTTTTTATGTTTAGCTAATTTCAGCTGTTATAGATAAATTCAAATTTTCCATGTTATTTTCTGCTACTTTAAGCCTAATAAACTTATTTCTGCTAATTTTAGCTTGTCATGCTCCTTTCAGCTTTCTCAGCTAGTTTAAGCTTTTTCTGCTAGTTCAGCTACTATTTAGCTGTTTTGTGCTAAATTTCGTTTTTCAGCTAATTCCACATTTTTTAACTAATTTCAGCTCCTTCCACTACTTTCTGGTAGTTTAAGATTCTTTCTGCCTTTTCAGCTACCTTTCAGTTATTTTTGCTAATTTCAGCCTTTTTTTTTTTTAGCTAATTTCTTAATTTTTGTGCTCCTTTCTGCTTATTTAAACCTAATTCATCAAATATGTGTTCTTTCTTTTTTTCTTCTCCTAAGCTTGTTCTTCTTTTTTAGCTACATTTATATTATTATAGTATATTTTTTAACAAATTCCAGCTGTTTTTCATCAAGTACTTCAGCAATAAACAGTCACTGCATTTTTAGCAGGAAATGCAATTTCTCTAGTTTTTCTTGTTTTCTCTCGGCACTTTGTGACGCCACGCTCACAGCACACCTGTCAGCAATCTGTAGTCACCCCAGCTGCACTCACTCTGCCATCTACCAACACACCACTGCCTTCCTCACGTTCAGTTGACAAATCCTTGAGTTCTGCTTCTGGCTTGGATTGTTTAGCGTTTGATGGAGAGTGGTAGTAGCTGAGAGTCATCCTCAACACATGTGAGTGTGAAGAGATCCTCCACGTCTGCCAGAAAAGAACGAGGCCATTTTTGTAGCTTGCTCTCAGAACTTCCTCTTCTTCTGTGACAGCTGCTGGGAGCATCAGAAGTGGGTGACATCGTGTTCCTGCTTGTTCACCCTGTGAGGACCTCCAGGAGTTCTGAAAGGCAAACCGTTGCAGCCCTTCAGCTGAAATCAGATCGCAACACCTCCACAGACCAAACCGAGCTCAGAAAATGTGTCTAACCCCAGAACGGACCAACTCGGGCTGAAACTTGGAGAAGGATCAGTCCAGGCTGCTTCAGAGTTTTATCCATTTTATCAGCCAAAACGTTCAGAACAGGGATTTCAGCTTGTACGGTCCCGTTTACCGCCTGAGAGTTCTGCTGGGCTCATTCAGCTGATTCTTGCTTCTGTATTTGGCTGCAGTTGGATCAGATCCGTTTGATTGGAGAGCGGCAGCTGCAGGCAGAACGGACCGGGACTTATAATTACAGCTCCTTAAAACGAGCGACGCGTGCAAACATTCACGTTTTGAAGAAAAACGAGATTTCGGCAGCAGGTTGTTTACAGCCGGCTGAAATGTCACAAAATAACAATAAACATGAGCAGCAAGCAAACTAAACACAACTCAGTAATCTGCAGTTTCCTTTTAACAGTTACTCCTTTAGGGCATCGTTGAAGTCTTAGTTTTAATACAATGCAGGTACAAACTGTCATTGGATCAGTGTGCTGTGAAGAAACACAGGAAGTAACCGAGACATTTGTTGCAGATCAGTGATGAAGGTCTCACGTTCTTCAAGACGATTTGATCTATTTGGTTTCCTAAAGCGATGGAGAGACGTGGACTCCGTCTGATGAAAGAGCCTTGTGACGAAGCGGCTTTTTGTCACTGGAAACAGTGAATACAAGCAGCAAAAACGACTGCAGAGGATGAAACAGTTGATGGTTGTCGCTAAGAAAGGAGGTTTTACAGCAGCTCTGTGGATCTGAGTCACTTCCTGTTGGAGCCGTGCAGGAAATGGAAGCTCGTGTGTTTCACTCCCAGACTCAGAGTGAGCTCGGCTGCACGTTTGCTGCGGTGCATCGTTCACGTCCAGCGTTACCTGCGCACGTGTCTCTTTCACTGTTAAAGGCTGTGGCTGTGCAGACGCTCTCCTTTCTGGCTGTCGGGGTAGATTTTGGTCCTCTGAGGTCATGATGGGTTTTCTTGTTGCTCTCAGGTGTTTTAATGCTCTTCCAGAGTCGATTTGTTTCAGTTCAAGTAGCGCTCTGCGCTCCCCTCGCACCTGGTTCTGATCGGATCATCAAACCTTCTGCAGGTGTCCGCTGTCTCCTCTCACAGTAAAACCTCCCTGTAGCTCAAATCTCCATCCGTTCATTGTTTCCCTGCATGTGTTTGTTTCTTGGCTTTTTAAGGTTTTTATGTTCGTCTCTGAACTTCCGCTCCAACAAGTGGTGTAGTCTACGTGATACTCGGGTATACGGAGTATACCGACTGGAAAAGCTTAAGAATTCCAGTATACCCACTTAAAAATGCCCAATGATACACGACATATCATTAGGCACGTGTCATTGATACGTTAAATGGCAGTTAAATGCTTCCGTATTAATCTATCGGTATGCAGCGCTTTGCTTTGATATTGTTTTATAAATTCTATAACATGTTTTAATACAAAGCCAACTGTTGTACAAAATTTGTCGTTCATTTATTCAAACATAGGCATCATTTTTGAAATATTCAAGATGCTTAAAAAATCAAAATAAATTGACATTTACATTGTACTAACTGGTGTACTTGGTTTCTAAGCACATTATGCTCACTACAAAAATGTAGACTACACCACTGTCTCCAACATGTGATGTTTTATGTAAAACTCAGTCCTTTATTTTTCTAAATTGCGTTCAGCTACAAACAGCCTGAGTGTGAGCGATGGAGCCAACGTCCCAGCAGAAATGATGCATTCTTTATTTTTGGGTCACAGGATGGGAAATCTTAAATCAGATTTGTTGCTAGTTGCTTCTTTGAATAAATAAATATTAAGTTGTGGTATCTTTGTGGGGGTTTTTTGTACTTAGAAGCTTTTTTGTTTGTTTGTTTTTGTGTTCAGGACCCAGTTCAGATTTGTCTATGGTTCAGTCTGTTTCTGTTTGTCTTTACTTTTCCTCAGTTATTCTTGTTTTCAGCTTCCTGTCCACACGTCGGTATTCAGGAATTATTTCCCAGTACTTGTACTCCTGGTTGTCTCACTTCATGTACTCTACATACTGTATGCACCTTTTTGTCCTGGCTTTTTTTTATTTTTATCTGTTTATTTATTATTTTCTTGAACTCGGTTTCTTGTTTTTATTTAACCAGACAAATCCCACTGAGTTCACAACTCTCTTCTTAATGGGGGGTCTGAAGGCAGCCTAACGTGCACGTTTATGGACTGAGGGGAAACCCATGAAAACACAAGGAGAACATGCAAACTGCACACAGAAAGAGCAGGTTCAAAGTAGGGATTGAACCCAGGACTTTTTTTGCTGTGAGGCAGCAGTACTAACCACTGATCCACCATGCTGCCCATGTGCAGTGTTTTATACTTGCAGTTCTGGGTTCAGCCCAACCAACTTCCACAAACTGATACAATGACAGGTTAGAAAGTTGAATTTAATATACAGGTAAATAAAATGTATAATGTTGAGTGTCACTTTAAATTGTATCTTTTTATCAGACAAAACATTTTTTATGGATTCATGAAAAATGAATGTGGGATGTGAGAGATATTTGAACTTATCTGAACAAATTGGCAAGAAAAATAGTGTAAAACGTATCTGGAGCGTTGGGTGTGCAGAACTGCCATGTTGTTCCACGTGTTGTAACTGGATCAGAACGATGTCCGAAAGGTTCTGCTGCACTTAATCTAACCACGGATTGATAGGTGAGGATTTATGAAAGGAAACGTCTTCAAATCTTCAAACAGCTCCAGCTAAATGTTGCCTTTGATGACTGCGAACTTTCATTAAAGCAAAGAGTGTGTGCCCTAAATAAACCTTCACGTGTTGACCGTACGGGGAAAAAAATGAAATCTGAAATTGAATCTTCAAAAACGAACCTCAAACTTGCATTTATAGTTTTAATTCATGAGTTCGAAGCCCAACTGGTCTAACATGGCTGCGCCATCGTGAGGCCGTGAGTGGCGCTCAGAGAAAATGTAAAGAACAAAGCTTTTATTTTATTTTATTTTATTGTTAACAGGAAACCACCACCACGAGTACCAGCACAGCCACCTGGACCTGACTGCGCTCACTCCTAAACCAGGTGAGGAAACGTCTTGAAATGATCCAGAAAGGCCGAGCCAGTTCAAATCTGACAAATCTAAGGAGAACATCAACTCCCATGGCAGAGATGGCTTTTCAAAGTAAAACTTATCGATGCTTCAGTGACAGAAAGCCAAACATTTTCCGTTCCACTGGCAGAATTATTACAGGAAAATTAAAAAGTGTCTGATCGTCGACGGATCGTGTGAGATGTTCGCTCCTGTAATTGAAAATCTAATTATGGTCATGGCAGCTCGGCCATCTCTGCAAATGTGGTTTTCTGTGACAGCGGATCTTTTATTCCCTGCATCTCCCTGAAAACAAAACAATTTAATTAACCGTCTTTGAAACTCGAAACATGTTCGGTGTGGTCGTTTCATTTTAAAGCTGAAAGTTTCTGTCATTACCGTGCGCTGCGTGTGCTTGTCTGCACTTAAACAGAACAAAGTGCTTTCAGAGCCAAATGAAACTCTTCAAGCTGCACTCCTGAAGTCTGTTCAGCTTCTAAAGGAGCTGTGGCCTCGATGCATAATTCACGAGTTGTTCTTTTCGACCTTGCGTTAACCCGCAACACTTTTTTCTAGAGTCCAAGGACGACTTCTCCCTGCACAAACATTTTGCTGCACGTTCTTTAACCCTTTCTTTGTCACCCAGATTTGTGTGCTCGCTCTACAATGAGACTTTAGAGGTGAAAACACACAGATGGTGTTTATATAGATTTATTTAAACATGTTTCATGAGCAAGAAAGATTAAATTAATATCCTGCTCATTCTGGGTCATTTTTTATTATATTGTTTTTATTTCTTTGCATCCATAAAGCTTCCAGCTGCTGCAGCACAAAAGCCTGACCTTTAATCCACGATGTGACGTTTCTTCTTCGCTCCTTTTTGTCGCCTCCACCTCGTCCATCGTGCCTCCCCTCTGCAGCACCACACCTTCCTCAGTTCTCTGGATCTCTGTCCTCCTTGCTGCAACCATCCTCTGCTCCTATTTTAAAATCTGCTCCCGGCCCGTCCCACCCACTGGGTCTCCTGACCCGTGACCGGGCGTCCCAAATACAAAACCACAGGAGCTCCTTCAGTGCAGCGAGCTTTAATGGTGTCAGGAAATAATAATGTGACCCGAGCCGTCAGAGGCATTCAGGGATGAACTTTTACTGGAGATGCACGCTGACTTCAAAATGCATGAAGGTGATGAGAGAGTGGAGAGGAATGACAATTTTCACGAGAAGAAACATCGAGCAGAACCAGAACCGGGCCGACAAATGTCTCGACAGACTGGAAGTTAGAAATGCTTTGTTGTTGTTGTTGTCACAAAGTCGACATATCAGATGTCAAAACCAAAAAATTTTACTTTTTTTATATATAAAAAACAAGAATGTTTGTGAATGTGACGTCAGTAAAACTTCTCTTTAAAGTTGTTCCAGGTCCATGTTTACCTCCGTGGACTCCCCTGTTCTCTAAACATCCAGGACCTCAGGAGTCCAGTTGCTGGAGGTTTTGGAGGACCTGATAGACCAGTTGTTGGAGGTTTTGGAAATAATGTTGTCCCATTCTAGTCTTTTGGAGGTTTTTGATGACCTGAGGAGTCCAGTTTTTGGAGGTTTTTGGAGGACTTGTGGAGACCAGTTGTTGGAGGTTTTGGATGTCTTATGGAGACCAGTTGTTGGAGGTTTTGGAAGACCTGAGGAGTCCAGTTTTTGGAGGTTTTGGAGGACTTGTGGAGACCAGTTGTTGGAGGTTTTGAAGGACCTGATAGACCAGTTGTTGGAGGTTTTGGAAATAATGTTGTCCCATTCTAGTCTTTTGGAGGTTTTTGATGACCTGGGGAGTTCAGTTGTTGGAGGTTTTGGAGGACTTATGGAGACCAGTTGTTAGAGGTTTTGGAAGACCTAAGGAGTCTAGTTTTTGGAGGTTTTTGGAAAGAATGTCCCATTCTGGTCTGTTAGAGGATTCCATCTGATCAACAGTCTCAGGTCATTGCTGGAAATTATTTTGCTGATTGGGAACACATTTTGCTGAACCACTATCATATTAATCTGTCCATTCAAAATAATATTGTTCCAGATGCTTGAAAAACCTTTATTGAAGGGAGGAGACCCCAGTATACTGAGCAATCATAGACAAATCTCCAAACTCTGTATTTTAGCAAAGTGTTTAGAAATACTGGCAAATACTCATGTCAAGAAGTTTCTGGACTCCTTTAAAATGTTATCTTCCCATCAGTCTGGCTTCATGAAACAACATGACACAATGATTACTTTGCTGAAGGTTTTTAATGATGTTGTTGAAGCACTGGATAAGATAAGATAAGATAAGATAAGATAAGATAAGATAAGATAAGATAAAACTTTATTGATCCCTGAAATGCTAAGGACTATTGTGCTGCACTTTATTTAGACCTTTCTTTTTGACACTGTGGACCATGACATTTTATGTCACAAGCTCTCAGATGTTGGTTTCTCAGATCACACTGTTGGTTGGTTTTCTAACTCTCTCTCAGATCAGAGGCCATGTGTTCAACATAATGGTACTTTGTCTAACTACCTAATGGTCCCTTATGGTGTTCCACAAAGCTCAGTTTTGAAGATGTTGGATGCTGTCTATGGCACGCTAAGATTCATAACTGGTTGTAACTACTGCAGATACAGCGTCCACTCTCATGCCTTCATTACCTGCAGTGTCTCCTGTCTGAACTTAGCAAAAATACCTTCTCTTACTCTGCTTCAGAACCTGGAGCACCTTGCAACAAGATCTGAAGTTGTCCACCTTCATTTCTTTAAGGAATGTTAAACAGATATTAAAATCCTTTTGATTGGTCAGAGCCCCTCTTATATCTACCAGTAAATGTCTCACGTTTGTTGGTGGTAACCCCTACATCTATATGAGTCAGGAGTGTTTGTGTCTGTGTTTTTAAAGGCTTTATTTTAATCTTAATTTAACAAGGTGAGTCAATAAGAACAAATCTGATTTACAATGGCAGCCTGGCAGAAGGCCAACCCTTCGAGAGGAACAATAACACGAGAAAAGAACTGTTTTGTTTTTAATCAAGTCCTTGAACGCTCCGAGTCGTCGTGTCAATGTGTGGTAAATACAACTGGACCAGAACAAAACAAGTCAAATGATCACATGTGGGTCTACGCCTACACTCACCGTCCTAACTATTATGATCATCATCATCATCATCTGCACAGCTGCAGAAAGAAAAGCTTTGCAGAGAGTGGTGAAGGCTGCACAGAAATCTGTTGGAATCAGCCTCCCCACCATCACAGACATCTACACCTCCAGATGCAGGAAGAGGGCCACCTGCATCATGAAGGACCCCACCCACCCAGCACACACACTTTTTGCCCCACTCCCCTCAGGAAGGAGGTTAAGGAGCATTAAGTGTAGAACCACTAGACTGAGGAACAGTTTCTACCCTGAGGCTGTTAGACTCATGAATCTCTAACTAGAATAATCACTGTGAAAAACCATATCATGTTGCTGCTGATCTGTTTCATGTTGCTGCTGATCTGTTTCAATGTTGACGTGTTCATGCGTGCACATCTGCTCACAGACTCATGTTCATGTTTGTG